CCCAATTAATGCACTGAGCTAAACCGGTAACATCATTTGCAAATGATTATAAATGAAAGAACACAAATTTTATTTGTACTTCACACATACGTTGTTTCTAAGGCTGTCCACCATAGTAGACGTGACACAACCAGTGGTTACTAGGGAGGTTGTTGGCTCTCGCTGGGTGAAAGAAGATGCTGCACCAGAAACCTCCTAGTGATTTCTTTTGTTGCTAGCAGACTGTCACCATCTCTGCCACCTACCAGCCGAGCAATAGTGAAACTTTTGTCTCAGGAGGTTTTTGTTATCATCCCTTTCTCACAGTGAGCAAGTCAGGAATTTTGGCATCATTTTGGACAGTGTTCCCAGTTTTGACCAACATCTTAATAATTCCCCAAATCCTGCTTTAGTTACGCTGCAATAGGCCAAGGGTGATTGGGGCTTCCCATGACAGACTAAATGTTTCTTCTTTACTCACCTGCTTTCACTCTCAGTGTGTTTATACAGCACTCTGCTGCTTTAATCATTAGTTATTAATCGCTGATCCTCTCCCACTACCCTTGTGCAATAATGCAAATGTTTATATAGATCCGATACAAATACTAGCTTTGGTATAGATACTATTGATATTTGGATTGATCCACCCACCTTCATCTTCCACAGTGTCTCTTTTGTACATTCTCTCCTGCTCACTGACAAAAACAATACCAACTGTGTTCTCTCTCGGTGCAAACACCAGCAGCTCACCTCATGTGTTGAAGCAGTCCATAGGCTTCTATCAGTGAGTGGACCATACTCGCCTGGTAACAGAGGTAAAGACAAGGATATCGTTTTCCAGATTAGGAAGAGGCTGCTACCTAACTAGCTCTGTAACGCATCTCATTCAGTTCAACTCACCCGGTTTGGCACTTTGGATAAAGTGTCGCAGGTCTGGATGTACTCCGGACCGTAAACATACGCGACTCTTCGTTTACTGCAGCTGTCGTCATCATCGCTGTCACCTCTGAAACTCATTTAGGTTGTCTGAAATCCAAATGTTTAGATGGAGCTGAAATATAAGACAAATTCTGAACACAGAGAGCGGCTTCTACTGCCCGAGTCTGGCGTCACACTGTCAACATTCCGTGTTGCCCACCCGGTAAAGCTGGCTTCAACCGTGAGATTAACAGACATACAGGTTTTGAAAATTATAACTTTGTGTTTTATATTATGTCTTAATGCTATTTTATCTCGTTGAAAAAAGTCCATTCGATAATTCTGTAGCGAGAGATAGAAGATTTTAAGAACTCATCTAAAGTTCCGCGCGAGGACACTTTGTCTCCATTTCAGCGGACGCACGTAAGGTGCATTCTGGGATTCCTTGTAGTCTTTTTGCGGACTCTTCAACCGCTGCATTGATAGCCAATCGATAAACTCGTCAAAACAGACGAGTCTGCTGAATATAATGCGTGTTCACCCTAACTTTGTCCTTCCACCAACCCAGACATGTATTTCATAAAACAACCTTCAGTAGGAGAGGGGAAAACGGCAGTAAACTGAAACAGAGCCTGGTTAAACTCCAATAAACGTGTAGTTAACTAAGGGGGGCAGTGTTCTCCATTGTGACGTCACCCTAAGATATATGCATTGTTTGTTTGTTTTTTCATAGCTATAAAAGCCTAACCCCTATCCCCCTTACCCCATAACTACCCATAATTTAAAGTTATTAAGTCAAAATTCCAACTTATAGATGTCTTCTAGCGCTGCTGTTTTCAGACTTTCAGAGTGTTTAACTGGACACATTTTGAAGTTTGGTGAGTCTGTATAATTGTTGAGTTTGAAAAGCAGGGAGTACCTGAGTAGAAATTCCGTGTTGTCCTCTCTGTGCGAGAGCTGCTTTAGCTCTTTGTCCGTCTTCTTCAGCTCAGAGATCTCCTACTCCAGCTTCTTCTGAAGCATTATAACTCGACACCTTTCCTTTTTCTGCTGGGATTTGATTTGCAGGGTTTCTCTTGATCCATTTTGTAGCCTGGGTGTCAATTTTTGTCTGCAAAATGCATGCCAAACATTATCACTGTGAGAGGAGAAGGTGATATGTACTGGGTTACACTGTGTTTAAGGAAATCATGGGATTTCAGAAGGTCACCTCCTCTCAGTTGAGAAATAATGGTAAATGGCCTGTATTTGTATAGCGCTTTACTTGTCCCTAAGGACCAGTGTTGGGGAGTAACGGAATACATGTACCGCCGTTACGTATTTAAAATACAAAATATGAGTAACTGTATTCCGTTACAGTTACC